GGGACCTCTCGAGGTACTGAAGAGCAACGACATCAGGCTGGAGACTAAGGTGCGCCTGATCCAGGCTATGGTCTTTGCAATTACGTGGTATGCATCGAAGAGTTGGGCAGCAAATAGGGATGATAGAAAGAGAATTGATGCCTTTGAGCTGTGGTGCTGGAGAAGAGTGTTGAATATGTCATGGACTGCTAGGAAAACAGACAGATCTGTCCTGGAGAGGGTGAAGCCAGAATGCTCCTTGAAGTCAAGGATTCTGAAGCTTCGTCTGACATACTTTGGGCATGTTGCAAGGAGGGACTGTTCCTTGGAGAGGGACATCATGTTTGGCAGAGTGGAGGGACTTTGCGGGAGAGGAAGACCCTCGATGAGATGGATCGATTCTGTGACTGGAGTGGAAGAAATGAGTATGTTTGAGACAGCGAGGTTGACACAGGATAGAACGGCGTTTAGGGCTCTTGTACATAGGATTGCTATGAGTTGCAGGCTATTCGATGGCACATAACAACAACAACAACAACAACATATATATTGAACAGGTATGGAGATAGAATACATCCCTGACGTACTCCTTTCCCCTGCTCTGTTCCTCTCATGAGCACAGTCATTATAACATTATCTTTCAAGATGGAACTGAATGTGGTCTTTTAAACTACAAATTCAACCCCGTTTTCCCTCACCTTTTCATTACCTGCGTTGTAGATCATATGATAGTCTGATTCAATATCCATCTTATTTCGCTAATGCCTGTCGTTGTTATTGTTGTTAGGTGCCGTCGAGTCGTAGACGACTCCTAGCGACACTATGAAAGAAACGCCTGAGCACTGTTCATACATAGAGTTTCTGTAGGCAAGCTATTTCGGAGGTGGATGCCGCTCCTGCTTCCAGGCTTTCGCTAATGCCTAGTATGTCAATATTTATGTGTTCCATTTCCTTCTTAAAAATATCCAGTTGTCCTACATTCATACTTCTCACATTCTACATTCAAATCATTAGTACCTCCTTCCAACTGTTCCTTTTTACAAACTGCTTTCAGAAGAGGTTATGAAGGATATATCATTGTTGACCTCAGGTGAATCATGACTGAAATAAGAAAAAAATAGCAGAGATCCTTCCCATTTTCTTCACCTCATCCACCCATCGAATTGTGCAACCCTAGGATTTTTTTTTTTTAAAACAATGTATTCAAACTTTAGAAATAAATCAGTATAAAATTAAAAATAAGAATCACTGCAAAATTCAAAGAATGTAATTAATATCACTCAATTATATGCATAGAAACTTGAATTGTTGCATATTTTGCTATATGTATGCCAGTAATGACAAAAATAAAAATTTAAGGGGAAAAAATAGCAGAAAGAAATGTTTACCAGAGAATGTTTAATTACATTTTGTTGACTATGCAAAGCCATTTGACTGTGTCAATCATAATAAATTATAGATCACATTGCTGAATTCTAGTAGTTCTTCAAATAAAACAAGGGGACACTTTGTAGCTCAGAGATTAGGAGAGATGTCAGTCAGATTGTGTCCTTTTACCATTCACTTATTCAATTTTACGCCAAACAAACAAAAATTTGAGAAACTATATAAAAAAGAATGTGACACAGGATTGGAGAAGGATTTATGAAACAACTGATATATGCAGATGGCATAATACTGTTGTAGTTGTTATGGACTGTTGAATCGCGTGTGACTCATAGAGACACAACACTAGGAGTTGAAAATATTGAAAACTTGACATACTTACTGATATTTAAAGACTATAGGCTTCAATATGGATTATACTTCAACTTAAATAAAATAAATGGAGCTCTGGTTATCTAGTCCATCAGAATTCCTAGCCTTAAGTCATAATAAGAGAAGATTGCTCATCTTTTCCCAAGGAAACATTGATAGATATGTGGACCACTGGAAGAATGTGACCTTTGGGTTAGCAACTTTATAGAAACTAAATCATAAGAGCCATATATAAAGCAAGGTCAATAATTCCTGCAGTACTATGAAGCCCAAATGGGGGGAAAAAAAACAAACAAAAAAAACCCAACAAACAAACCACCACCACAAAAAAAAAAAACAAAACCCATCACAAAACAATCATCTAGCAGACTTGTTAAAGCAGAATGCTAGGCTCTATATAGTCAGTAGATCTGATTTGGGTGCCAAAGGTGTCCTGATGGCACAGTGGCTGAGGGTTGCTAACTGAAAGATCAGAAGTTCAAATCACCAGCAGTTCTACGGAGAAAGAGGCAGTCTGTTCTAGAAATATTTCAGCAGTGGAAGCTCTGAGGGGCAGTTATTCTGTTACATCGGGTGACTTTGAATCAGAATCCATTCAAAGTCTCTAAGGAGATTTTCAAAAGCTGGTGAAAAGTGACATTTTATATCAGATTGATTCCCTTCTACCTTCCCTTCAAAAATTCACATGTGTTCACATCTATCGACAAAGGATATATGGGGCTCCAGCAGTCAGGAAATCAAAGGGTTAATTGTATTAGGTAAACCTGCTGTCAGTGACCTTTCCAAAGTACTGAGAAGCAACGATATCAATTTAGAGACTAAGGTGAGCCTGACCCAGTCCCTGGTCTTTGCGATTACTTGCTATGCATCAAAGATCTGGGTAATAGCTAAGAATTGATGCCTTTGAGTTGTGGTGCTGGAGAAGAATCTTGAACATATCATGGACCTCCAAGAAAACAAATAGGTCTGTCTTGGAGAGGGTGAAATAAAATTTCTCCTTAGAGGCCAATACTTTGAAACTCCATCTCACATACTTTGGCCATGTGGCCAGAAGGGACTGATCCTTGAAGAAGGACATACTGCTCGGGATGGTGGAGGGACAGTGCCGGAGTAGGAGAAGAAAACCTGGACAAGATAGATTGATACAATGACTAGGGGCAATGGAGGTAGGTGTATCAGAGTCAAAGAGAATGGCTCAGGACAAGGCAGGCTTCAGAGCTATTATTGTATATATAGTTGCTATGTGACTTGATGGCACACAACAACAACTTTGAGTTTTGTGTAAATGCTCAGGTGAGGTTGATATTTCTAGTTTGGGCTACTCCTTAAGAATCACTGTGTATCACAAATGTAAGGAATTAAGCTTTTAATTTTATAACAACATTCACCTAATTTTCTTCCTGATATGTATTTTTCCCTTCATTCCTTTGGTTTCTTTTTTGTTATTCCTCCTTACTGCTGTAACTTTTTTTATGTGCTTCATATCCAGCAATAGTCATTGAAGTAAGTGAAAGATCAGTAAAATGTATCATTTGTTGTTAAGCATGAACAAGGACTTGTGTTTAGTTGTATTATATCACAGCAAACAAGTGGTATATTTTTTTGGGAGGTGAGAGATAAGGGTAGATATCTCTGACTTGAGGATTTTGGATTTTAATTTTTTTTCTTGGGGGGGGGAGTAAATTAGACGTAGAATGTTACTTGTTACCAGCTTTCAAAAATCCCATTAGAGACCTTGTAATTTGATCTAGAGGGAACAACGTGAGTCAGGTAAGAGGAAAAATTGACCTCATTCTTTAGTCCTTTTCTAAATCCTGAGAAATGTGTGCACCTCAATGCTCCTCTTTTCAATCCCACAAAACAGGGAATCAGGAAAACGCATTAGCACCCCAGAGTACAGCCCAGGAGCACAGTGCGGGGAGGAGACTGAGCATCGCCAAGAAAGGAGGAAACTGGGGGAAGGGAGAGAAACTTGCAATGGTTGGAGAATCTGCCGCTCGGCCGTGGGAGAGGAGGGAAGTATACCTCACAAGTCAGCCAGACACTTTGCCTCTGGACATGTGGGAAAGTGAGGGAGGAAGGAAAATCGCTGTACCAGAGAGAAACACACAGAGAGACGGAGTCAACGCTCCTGCTTCTGACTTGAGATCTAGAGAGTTAAAACGTTTTGCTCTACTTCTTTCTTTCTGCAGGCCATTTCTTCATGTTTAGGCAAGCTCGAGGGACGGGGCCGCTGGGCTAAGTCGATAAAAAAATCAAAGTTACCGCCATCCGCACAGGCCACCCGGCTGAGGCCCCAGACCCAGGGTGGGAGAGGGAGCCTTAGGGGGCGCAGAACTTACCCTGTGGAAGGGGCGGGGCCACCAGGCGCCTCCCCAATCACCGTGGCCGCCCCAGCGATTTGCATACAGTATGCTAATACAGACCTCCCGCTCAGCTCCCAGCCGCGCTCCCGCCCCCTCGGGGGTCTAGCGGGCCGCCCGCGGCCTGGGCGAAGGTGAATACATTATGCTAATGAGGCGGGCTTCTGCGTCGGCTCTGGGAAGGGGGCGCCCTGCAGCCAGAGCGGCGGGACGCCGGGCGCCGGGAGGGGGTCGGGGGAGGGACGTCGCTCTCGGGGCGCGCGCGCACACACTCACACACACACACGAGCATCCCGAAGGGTATTTAAGGCTCACACACGCGGGGCTGCCGAGACACTTCGGGAAGCCTCGCGACTCGCATTTGCTTCTTGTTTTATTTCCTTTCCTCTCTCCTTCCCCCTTGGCTGCCCCTTTTGCCCTGCGCTCTGGAGGTCTCGCTCAGCCTTTTTTTTTTTTTTTTACTTTTTAAATGAATCAAGGTGGGAAATAGGTCGTCGTGCGGAAAACACCTAATAGCTAGAAATAAGGACTATTATCAGAGGCGCAACAAGTCCGGTGGTCCGTGGCGAGGGGGAGCCAGCGGCGGCCCCTCTCTGCGCCTCGCCCGGAGCCCCTCGTCCCAGCGCAGCCGCTCTTGGAAGAGGTGTCTGTCCTCTGGGGGAGCAGGAGGGCCGATTGGGTGGGTTGCATTTCGCTTTTCACCCCATTGCCACCTAGTGCCCGACGGAGGGTGCTTTCCACTCGCAACTGGGAGGAGGGAAGAAAGCAAAGGATGGTCTACGCCTGATTGTCTCAGCGCTGAGGAAAGCAGAGGTCCATCCCCGCGCCGGAGCACTGACTCGCCAACTAGTGCAGCTCCAGGGACTGAACTTTGGAGAAACAGTCCTCCTTTCTTTTAACATTACTGGAGGTGGTCGAAGGCAGGAGGCGAAGCCTAGGCAGCCAACCCTGCCACGATGCTAGTGAAGAAGCATGCAGCGAAAGGAGGGGGCCGTGAGCCCAGCTCCCAGGACACAAACACCGCTCCCCTACGCTGTGCCTGGCCCTGGCCCCCATGCGCTACCTTGGCGGCTCTCCTGTCAGTGGTGGCCTTGATGTCCTGTCTGTACCTGGGGGTGAAAACCAAGGATCTCCAGGCGAGGATCGCTGCTCTTGAATCTGCCAAAGGAGACCCTTCCTTTCATCTGCTGCCTGATTCATTGGATCAACTTAAGGCAATGGTGCAAGAGAAAGTGGAGGGACTTCTGGCTCAGGTGTGAAAGGCTGGGCATTTTGCTGGTGCATAACGTCTTGCAAAGGCGTGATTCCGATTCTGTGGTCAGCCTCATACTGTGCCTTACTTGGTGTGGGAGTTGGGGTGTGTATGTGTTGGGTGACATTCTACGCTCATTGTCAGATATATGCGTATAGGTACATCTGATGTTATCACTATCATCTTCCTTCATGTTTGCATGGTAAACATTTGGAGATCTAAAAGGGTGGTCTGAATGACGGGCTGGCGTGTTGTAAATGTAAGTTTGCTGGAGCCCCGTGATTTTTTTTCTAGTGGTACCTACAGAATGTTCTTGAGAGAGATAATGTGTATCTTCTTCACACCATGTAATACCTAGGAGCGTAGTCAAGGTTAATCACTCTTTATAGAAAAATACCTCTACATAGGATTTAAATCTACTGTTTTCACACACTAAATGTTTTCATACTAAATGTCTGAAAAGAAAAAAAAAGTTTGCCCAGGAATATCATGCCAGGTATTTATGAATGTAGAACCATTGGTATTGGAAGTATTTATCAAAACCAGGAATACTTTAGAGTTAAGAGTTTCTTTAGAACTTACTTTTTCAACAGAATAGCTGCTTGGCAGTAATTACAGCACATCATGATACAAGTTGCTCTTCTTCTAGAAAATATTGATTGTTAAAAAGCCTTACCTCGAAAAAGCTCACACAGACTGCAACAGGTTTTTGCAGTTAGCTTGAGTTGTGGGGAGAGTAATCGGAGCTGGAGACTGAAGAAAGATGTTACACAAGTCCTGCAGTGTTGGTACCTTGTTAATGGTCATTTTCTTTTTTTAGGGTTTCTTGGATACTGTTACATTTTGACTAAAGTCCAAGAACATATGTAAAGATTAGTTATGCAGGCCAAGGATTGTAGGTAAATCAGAATATGACTGAGATCCTCCCGAGAGTGCATTTCTCTACAGTGCTACTGATGATTATCAATGTCTCTTCTTTTCCTGCAGAAATCCTATGAGCACATGGCTAAAATAAGAATCGCAAGAGAGGCACCCTCCGAGTGCAACTGCCCAGCAGGTAAAAGAGAGCTATTTAACAAGGTTTCCTCTGTAGCAGAACATTTTAGAACAAAGGTCCTGTGTCTGTCAAATCTACCTGTAATAATAGTAAAGAAAGAATGCAGACCTGCATTACTTTAATAAAACCAGCATGTCTCTGTCAAAAGAATGGCACATAAAGCCCCAGATATTATTTTAAGCAGCATACCAAGGTCATATGGGAAAGCAAAGGAGACAGAGATAATAATCAAGGAAAATACGGGCAAGATGATGTAGAGATGATGTTCTTAGATTCACAGATTAAAAAAATATTTTCCAATTTTATTATAGTATTTTAATGTCTGTGGTGAAAAGGACTGGAGAACATGTTAGATTTGGAATTCTCTGGTGGCTAATGTACTAGAACAGATATACATACCCTTCCCATTGGCATATGATCACGCTGGTGGGCCATCTTTACTTCCTCCTCTGCTGTTTTGTTTCTGTTTCCTTTCAAAAGGTGCACTCTGCTATTCTATAGCTAATGATAAAGAGTTCAAAATTTGTTATTTATCTTGGTCTTCACATTTTACTATAAACTATTGTGTTCTCAGTAACTTCTCAGAAAATCTTTTATCTATGTCTATCTATGAAAGTATATACATTCAGATATATTTACATATACAGAGAACTTTAGAAAACTACATTACTGACAGCTTGTTAGAAGGATGGAGAGGAAACATCAATGTATAAAAACCTAATCACTTGGAAGCATTCAGTCTTCATTCACAGACCTCTGAAGATCTGTAGTATTCTGTAGACTTCCTAACAATTTAGAAAGCTTTGGAATATTGATCTCACAAGATATCTAGTAGATTTGACTTAATGAAAAAGGCGTCTCCTTTAATACTCAGAAACTATCTAAAATTACGTACTTAGACATAGGTCTCTATAGATAAAAAGATTAATTTCTTTAATTTTTCTTATTCTGAGTTTCCCCCCTCCATCTGATGATAATTTGTTTTCGCATAGCTAAACCAGACGCCATATTTAGAAATCTTTAATATTAACTTCAGACTGTATGTCATGAAAATATTTACTGTTTATGTTCTACTCCTTTGTTAAGAAAAATACAACTATATATTTAAAATGAAGCCATTTGAGAAGAAATGTATAGGTCTATATAGGTAATAGGCACATATAGAGTTAATATTTGATTTTTTTTTTAGATTTCCTTCTTAGTTTATTTAAATTTGAGAAAACCTCAGAAGACTGAAACTCAAGGAAGGTAATTTTCTAACATAGGAATTAACTCTCAATAGCCACCTTGGCCTGGTGGGATTATCCAGAACCTCAGGATAGTCCAGGTAGAACTCCACTGATCACTTAATTAACAGCCTAGCATTTTCTGTACACACAAGTTTTGTTATCTGTTTGAGAAATAACTTGTATTTAATTAGTGGAAGGCTTAGTGGATTTAGTGAAGAGTAAAAAGGTGACTATGACAGCACTGAGCTCCGTTTTATATAGTGTTAATGCTTCATGATACTTAACGATACGATAGTTGTTGAAGTCTATTTGTGATCTAAAAACAAATAAAAAAGGAAAGTTATTAAGTTTAGAATTTATCTTAGAAAGTCCATTTAAAACCCATTTTATCTTACATGCCAACTAAGTGGGGATTTCCTTGTCTTTTTTGTGGACTCTTACCAAAGGTTGCTTTACACCCTTGCTACCACTAGAGCTCCACATTACATCATTTTTCCCCCCCAAGGTTACTTGAAAGGTGCACATTTGAAGGTGCACATATATATTCTAGCACATAGAATCAAACTGATTTCTTGCTAAAAACCCCCACAATCACTGTTTTATAAATATCCCCTACTGCTTGTGGAATAAATCATCATCAAATTAATGGCATTAGGTTGAAAGTAGTATCCCCAGGAAAATCAACTCATTTGAATTTTATCCAGTGAGGTATTTTTGGTTTGTTGTTTTTCCCCCCCCCTTTTCTGGAATGAATGAGCTGGCTAAGGGGATTATAAAGGAGATACAGAGCTTCCCACCTGGTTTGCCTCTGACTCCAGTTTGCAGTGACTAAGAGTTGTCACCCAGACATCTGTTTGTAGAGCAGAGTAAGTTAAGCCTGTGACCTCAGCTCAGTTCCTGTGGACAGATGCCCACCCCTTGAAGTTGACACTCTTGTTGACAGTCTCAACCACAGAGCCAAAGCCTGACAGAAAAGGAGAGATGTTGTATTGTTTGTGTTCTCTTTACATGTGTGGTGAAACTCAGCTCCAGAGATGTTGATCCAGATAGGCTACAACTGTATCATTTATACATTTTAAACAATATACAGGAATGACCTTTTGTAGAAAAGAGATGAAAAAATGCAATTGTAAGAGATGGCATAAGGGGAAAGGAGTTCAAATCCACCAGCTACTCCAAAGTAGAAAGATGAGTAATTTCCTCTTGTGTGATTTACAATCTCAGAAAATGTGATGCATGATCAGTTATGAGTTAGTTCAGATGGGGAGGGCAGGTGAGAGAGAGAGAAAGAAGGGAGGATTGTAAGGGATGGTGCTACCTCTTTCATTTAATACCTATAACAACTGTGAATATTCATTCTCTCCTTTAATATTCAAAACAATTAATGGGGGGGGGAGTGTTGTAAGGTACTGTTGACCACACCTCACAGTGACTCTGTAAATGACAAATCTAAAACTTGTTGTATCCTGTATCAGCCCCACCATCTTTGATGTACTTGAATCCATGTGGGTGATGTAGGATATCAGAGAAAGGGAGGATGGCGCACTCTAGGACAAGATATAGATTTATTGTTCACAGGAACACTACGAATTGTAGTCGACCTAACAGCACATAACAGCACTTTTCATGATTGTCGTGAAGAAGGAGAGAAACTTGTCAATCCATTTTTTTCTGTGCCAGGCTATCTTGTTGAGTATCTTCCTCTCTTGCTCTAACCCTCTGTCTTTCCAGGCATGCCTATTTCCAAGCTTTGAGTAAGCCCAAGGTCAGAACTCTTGTCCCCTGTGACAGAATTAGACATCCAATGTCTAGTGAAGACTAGCAAATGAGTATATGGTTTTGATTTTGGATTAGACAGTCCTGGATTGAAATTTTGGTTTGTTGCTAACTAACTGCGTGAACTTTGGTTAAACTAGTGAACTTTATGCTTCAGTTTTCTCATTTATTAAAAATTGTCTAACAGTACTTTCCTTGCAGAGTGATAATAACAGCTATATAGTGAATTAGTAGTTGTTCATTCAATTACTATTCCTTTTACTATACTGTGTGCTATTCATGTTGAATCTGGCCCATGGAGATGCGATATAGGTGGGATGAGGTAATGAAGATGTGGAGATGATACATAACTGTGGCTTGTTAATGGCAGACTTTGAAGGAGACTATTATGGTTAATTAAGCAAATTTATCTGTAGATAATTTATGCAGATAAACTAGTCAGTATCTCTTGGTATTACATTCTTCTCTAGATATTTATATTGTTGTTGTTGTTGTTATGTGTTGTTGAGTTGCTTTCAACTCATAGTGACTCTATGTACAACAGCCCTAAACCCTGCTCTATTCTGTCCAATCTTATTGTTCCTGACATACCTATCCCCATTATACCCAGTCACTGAATCAATCCATCTCATCAAGGATCTTCCTCTCTTGTGCTGTCCCTCCACCCGCCCAAGTAAAATGTCCCTCTCCAAGGACTGGTCCCTCCTTGCAACATACCCAAAGTATGTCAGACGAAGCTTCAGAATCCTTGTCTCCAAGGAGCAGCCTGATTTCACCCTCTCTAGGATGAAATCTGTTTGTTTTCTTAACAGTCCATGTTACATTCAGTACTTTTCTCCAGCACCACAGCTCAAATGCATCAATTCTCCTTCTATGATACCTAGTCTTTGTTTGGCTTTCTCATTTATATTGGTGTCCTAAATAATTTTTATTCTTTTAAATACTTCTCTTTTTCATTTCAGAATAAAGAAAACCCTCCACCTTTACATCTTTTAGGTAAATCATGACTGACTTGGGTTTATAGGAGTATACAGCTACTAGCAGTATCTTTATAGTTTCCATAAAAGATGTTTAAAAAATTATCTATTTGTCTTTCACATTTATTTTTAACAAGTTTTAGTGACACACAGTTTACACATTTCACTTATTTTAAGCGTACAGTTCAATGATTTTTTTTTTCGGGGAACCAATTTCTAGAGTTGAACAATCATCACTGCTATCTAGCTTTAGACCATCTTCATCACCCACATAGACACGTTGACTTGTTTGATACAGTCAGGGGAAACTTTATTTATTTATTTTTTGTTTAAATGAATTAATATTTGCACTAAAGTAACCCACGATAAAATAACAGCAACGATCAATTGAGCCTCTACTTGCCAAATGTGTGATGTAGCAGTACTTTGTGGTGTTACGTAACACTGAGTTGGAACTGACTCACAGCTGACTCTCCAGTGGGTTTTCAGAGGCAGTGAATCACGTGAGAGGAGATTGCTCCACTTTCTCCCACAATGCAGTTAGTGGATTCAAACCATGTGCCTTTGCACTGGCAGTGCAATTCCTTACTACTAAGCCATGGAAACTGACTGACATCTGTATTTTAATCTCTGTAAAACATGGACACCATATTGCTGATGTTAGGTGCCTTCATGTCAATTCTGATTTGTAAAAATTATGTGCGCTAACTCTGTCCTCATCATCTTCACTGTACATAAACCACTGCTACATTGTCAATTTTTCTTCTTCAGGGCCATCCTTTTCCAAAGCCTGGAAAAGTATGTGAGAGGAAATTTCACAATCTTTGCTTTAAGGAGTGTTCTTATTGTTCTTTTCCTAAGACAGATTTGTTTATTTTTTTTTCTTTTTGTCAGTCCATATTAATTAGTATTCTTCACCAATACCACAGTTCAGAAGCATCTATCCGTCTATATTCTTTGGCTTTTTGGTATGGCTATGAGATAGTGTTTTTGGGTTCTAGTTTTGGAGAATGATATA